CAGAGCTCCGATTACTATTGGTACAGTCTCAGTCTTCATTCCCCACATCCTGTTAATCTCGATCTCCAGGTCCTTGTATTTGGACAATTTCTCGATAATTTTCATGGAGGTGTTTCTCTCAGATGGTACTGCTATGTCAATAAGCATACACTTCCTGAATTTCTTGTCTTTTATGATAATATCAGGTCTGTTGGCTTTTATTTCCCTGTCAGTTTGAATTGGCATGTTCTAGAGGATAGTTGCATCGTTATTTTGGGTAACTGTGTGTGGTTGGTGCTCATATTTTCGATTTTGTGCTTCTTGCATATCTTCCAGTGCACATATGTCGCTAACTTGTTATGTCTGTGGGTATATTCATTTTTTTTCAAGTTCCGGACATCCTGAGATAATATGGTCGACAGTTTCATCATATTTTCCGCAGATCCTGCATTTCGGGTTAGTTCCATCCTTGATTATGTGACAGTGATAGGATCTGGTTGCGAGGCTTTGGTCCTGAGCTGCAATAATTAGGCCTTCTGTCTCAGCTTTCAACCCGGTGCTCCTCAGCCACTGATGTGTTTTCTGTTGGTCCACATCTGCTTTTTTTCGTTCTTTTTTTTTTTATTTGCCATGCAACGCCTTGTCCTCCCAGTTTTTTTTTTTTTTTAATTTCATTTGGCCAAGTTGTTTTTTTTCTGTTTTACTCGTTTGGTAGATGGTATTCGCTTTTTTTTTTTTTTTTGGTAGGATTTCAGGTATATTAAACTGTTTCTTGAAGAGTGCAGCTTTTTGTTGATGGAATGGATTTGGTGTTTTACTATTTGTAGGAGAGGGTCATTGTTTTTTTTTTTTTGGTATGTTCCAATCCGATTGTTGTAGTTTTTAGAGTTAATTCAAGTTGGATTAGACCTCGGCCTCCTAAAAAGCTCTTGGTACATACAGCCTATCAACATCTGATTTTGGGTGGTGAATCCTCATTGGGGTAAGCATTTTTCTGGTCTTGGCGTCCAATCTTTTAATGTCATTCAACTTCCATTTAATAATGTTGAAGCTGTATGTTACTACCTGTATAGCTAAGGTGTTGATAGCCTTCATTTTATTGGCCCCATTAAGTTCAGTTTCTAGTATCAAACGCACTCTCCTATAATATTCATTTCGGATCTTTTTCTTCATAATTGAATGTTGTATCCCGTCTCCTTCATTAATTCCTAAGTATTTGTATTTACCATCTTGGTCTAGTTCCTTAATCATGCTGTTGATGTCAAGGTCTAAATCCGTAGTTTTCGTTAGTTTACCGCTTTGAAGGTGGCTTTGGCACATTTGTCGATTTTATTTTTCATATTATTGTTGTAATGAGAAGGTTTTTTCAATTATATTATCTGTTAGTTCAAGTTCTTAGACCTCGTCCTCCTAAAGCTTTGATACGTACAGCCTATCAACATCTGATTTCGGGTGGTGAATCCTCATTTGGGTAAACATTTTTCTAGCATTGGCGTCCAATCTTTTAATGTCATTCAACTTCCATTTAATAATGTTGAAGCTGTATGTTACTACCTGTATAGCTAAGGTGTTGATAGCCTTCATTTTATTGGCCCCATTAAGTTCAGTTTCTAGTATCAAATGCACTCTGCTATAATATTCATTTCGGATCTTTTTCTTCATAATTGAATGTTGTATTCCGTCTCCTCCATTAATTCCCAAGTATTTGTATCTACCATCTTGGTTTAGTTCTTTAATCTTGTTGATATCAAGGTCTAAATCCGTAGTTTACCTCCTTTGAAGGTGGCTTTGGCACATTTGTCGATTGTATATCTGCTTCTTTCGTTCTTTTTATTTATTTGCTTGTCCTCCCCGTTTTGGTGTAATTTCATTTGGTCAACCTGTCTTCCTCTTTTATATCCCTTTTGTTCTGCTGGGAGAAAATTGTTTTTCTCGTGGAATTTGTATGTCCTCCCGTTCATGATAGAAATGAGGACCTTGTTCATTGTCGGTAGGCAGGTGATGGGCCTATAGTTCTTCGGGTTCTGCGTCTCTTCTGTTTTGTGGAGTAGGTAAGTAAACTCCCCACGTGAGCCATTTTGAGCATTTTTTTTATTTATGATTATATCATTGTATTTCCGTGCGAGGTCTTGGTGGGTGCTAGATAGATTGTTTTTTTTTATATCCCAAAATTGGCTATTCGGTCTATTCCTGGTGGTTTCCAGGTTTTTGGTTTTGCAGATGGCAGCAGTTGTTTCAGTAATATTGATATCTGTCCATTTTTTCCTCTATATGTGTGTGTTGTTTTTGTTGTTGCTTGATCTATTTAGGTCTTTCATTGTGCATTTTGCAGTTTTCCCACATCTTACACCAGAACTCCTCAACTTTCTGGATATTATGTGGGTCATTTATCTCTATTTTATTTTTTTTTTCTCATATAATTTCTTGGTATCTTCTTTGAAGATCTTGTTTTGTCAGAAGAAACCTTTTTTTTTTTTAATAACGCCTGATTCTCTGTGCATTCGTTTGAATTTGTTGTTTCAGCTTCTTTTAACTTTTGGTACGTCTGTCTTATTCTTTATGTCAAGGCTTCGTTTCAGTTGTCTCCATTTTCTTTCCTTCATTTTGGAGCCCTTCTCTATTTCACTTTAGAAGTGACAATTTTCCTTGTAGTTTATTTATTTCGGTTTCTATCATTTTTTTTCGAGACTGGCATTTTTTCTTTTTTTTTACGTTGGGTTTTTGCTTTTTTTTATTGTTGCGTATATAAGATGATTAATTTCTGTCAGGGTTCATTTCCCATCCCGTCCCTTAATTTTCTAATTACTTGATTAGCAAGGTTGATGATTTCCTTCACGTGACGGTTGTTTCTTACTTTTGGAATTGTCGGCCTTTCCTCGATAGGCATTAGCTTTACATTCTCCCATTTATATCGGATATTTTTGTCATTTCTGTTTCTCTCTCGTATTCGTCATCTTCCTCTATTTGCTTGTGTAGCTCAGAGGGATTACAACTGGTTTTTATTTGTTCCTCTGCATGTATCTCCTCTGGGTTGTTGGCATTCAACCCCTCGATGTTGATTTTTAATCTGTTTTTGATGTTTTTTCGGGTGCTTATGAGTTCTATGTCAGGTATTCTTTTTTTCCTGATGATATCAAGCCTGACGTTGGCTAGTTTGTTGGCATCGTTGTTTAGTCTGTTTGAAGGGTGTTTTTCTCGCCAGATATTATTGGCGGCTTTGGTCGTTCTTGTCGTTGTCGGATTTATCGTAGCGGTGTAAAAGGATATCATTACTTCAATATACTCTTTCCTAGACCATTTATTTATTGTTCTATTTTTGGGATTTTCTTTTGAATATAAAGAGAGTCTGTGGGGACTGACCTCGACGTGATTTTCCCCGAATTCTCGTTGGGTAGAGCTTGTTCCAGATGCAGACTTTTCGATCCTAGTATGATTGCTCATCGGGGATCGCAGTACTTGTTGACCCGCGACACGACCGATGCAGATTAGCAATATTTTTGGTTGAGTTAGCATTATATTAGGTTCGTAGTAAACACCGACTACTACTGCTAATACTGCAAAGCTCTTCTACGAATTGAGCTCTCTCTGTCATTGGCGTGTTTATTCGAAGAATAAGTACGTAAAAATCCGCCTTCCTCTCTAGCGGATGTCTGGGAATATATATATATATATATATATATATATATAAATGACACTGATATCTGATATCTCATTTAACAGATATATTTGCCAAAATTACACAAAAATATCTTAAAAATACTAAAGAGTAAATTTATTCAATAATTTCGCCATTGGCCTCCAGACAGCTTCGGAATCTCCTGCAACTCTTCCGGACGGCCTCTTTGTTCAAGTTCGTGAATGCTTCGATAAACCTTGCCTTCAGATCATCGTACAAGGAGTTTTGTTAGTCTCTGGCTCAACTGCGCCCCACATATAATAATCAAGGTTGTTGCAGTCTAGGGAGTTAGGTGGCCAGATGTAAGAAGTGATGCGGTCACAGAAATTGTCTGACAGCCATGACTGGTTTCTTCTGCTTAAGTGTCACGGTGAATAGACCTGTCACCAGACATAGGGTCTTCCAGCAGCCACCTTCTTGACGCAGGGCAGCTTTACCTCCTCAAGGCACTTGATATAGGTCTCCGTGTTGAGTCTGAAGCCCTGTGGG